AGATTTAAGATTATAAGAATGTGCTGATAGAAGAACTTGTGATGCAGAACGAAGATTACGGAAAGAAGGAAGAAAGAATATATATCAAAGCGTTAGGATAAATAATAAACCATATTGCCAACTCAGTTGATCCTTGTCAGTGCTACAAAAGAGACAACCCAAAAGGGTTAGCTTTTAACAAAGACACTTTAAGTTCCAGCAGGCACACGAACTAAAAATTGCTATGGATAAAATTTAGAATTATCTTTACTAAAAAAATCAGTTTAAAGGTTTCCCGAAACGTCAACATGTTAAGAGTCAATGTCTGTAACGGTCGAGAATAATCGGACAGTTGAAAAAAAATCGAAATTGCTCATGCTTTGCCTAAATACCCTTTGTGGTGAGACATTTTCGAAAATACAACTTTAAGTCCTGGGCACCTCTTATCTTTTGGGGAATCGCTCAAAAAGGATTAAGGGATCCAGAAGGGCTTGGGCACCCTGTTTCGAATAGGAAAATGTAAGATTTTCTCGGCAATCGAACGGCTTCGCGTTTTATTCTATACAACCCATTATTTTTTCTAGCAAAGGCACATTCTTTATCTTGAATTTAGTGTAAAAATAGTTTTGCTAATGCTCGTTTTAAATATAAACTACGGAATTTTGAATGGGCCCTACTTTGACGTTTCCAAAAATTTGTAATTTTTCAATCAGTGCCTAAATGAATTGTGGTACATGCACGGCCAGAACTAAAAAAATACCACTTTGCTACGGAATAACCCTTCTACGATGACATATCCAAATATTATTGGCGGCCCACTAAACCTCGTTCACTGAGAGCCTCAAATGTGTCTGTAGTTTTCACTCAAGTGAGCGTTACGCAACGCTTATTGTATTAGGTCAGCAGCTCATTTTCTAGGAATTTCACTATAATAACACAGTTAAAAATAATTACCTTGATGTTTTTCTTTGCGCAATTTCACTATACACAAAGCCAGTTAAAAGTAATTACCTTGAGGTTTTTCATTGCGCAATTTCTGAGGGAAATTTCACTATACACAAAGCCAGTTAAAAGTAATTACGTTGATGTTTTTCTATGTATTTAGGCAAAACATGAGCAATTTCGATTTTATTAACTTTCCGATTATTCTCTACCGTTACAGGCGTTGACTCTTAATTCACAAAAGAACAAGTTTTGCCATTCAAGATTATTTTTACTCTATCATTCTAGCCGAGTGTTGTTTTATGCTGGCAATTCGTTAAAAGTTTTCCTGCTTAATATCAATAAATCTTCCAAAATTTAATTTGGCTGCAACTTATAAATAATTTTTAAGGGTCTTATAATCACTAGTTAAAGTTTTTTCTTTATATCCCAATGGGAAGTACTATATTTTAACGAAATTTTTATAGGAGTCTGTGACGTCAAACACACAACACTAAACATCGCTCCTTACATTTCTTTGTAAATAACTTCATGTTTTACTTTAATTCTATTAAGCCCAAAGTGCCGCTTAGGAACTTAACGTACATTGTGGTTAGAATCATGTTATTGTATCTTTTCTTTAATACTGGTTATAAAACTGGAAGATATTTTGATTACAAAATGCAAAGAAATGTACGGAGCGACGTTTAGTGTTGAGTGTATGACGTCACAGACTCTTATGAAAATTCGCAAAAATACAATACTTCCCATTCGAATATCAGGAAAAAACTTTAACCAGTGATTATTAACCTCCAAGTGTTATTCCATTAAAGTTTCAGCTGAATGAAAATTCGGATTATTTTAATGCTAGTCCTCCTACATATTTTGGGAGTTCAACATCATAGATATATTGATAAATTTACCACCTTCATTTAAGTAAAACATACCTGTAAACTATTTTTCTTCGAGGAAGGGACGCTAAAGAGTGCGGAAAAACTGGTACTCGACCTTTACACTGTATACTGAAAACCCTTTAAGAAACTTCTTAGCATATGTATTTTTCAATTTTACGAACTGCCAGATGTCATGGTCATTGTATAGGGATGGCACCGTTGTTGGCATTATTCAAATTTTCGATACATCTATTCATATGGTCATTGTTTACTGACAGGCGCCTTCCAATCGCACTCCAGGACCTTTAAAGTTATACGTATTTTTTTCCCCACAATATTTTTGTATAAAAGAATTGTATATAATAAAATAAATATGGTTTAAAGGGATAAAAAAGCTATGACAATTTGTTTAATTTTATTCGTTTCGACTCCCGCTGCAGTGGTTTGACATCCTATATATAGCATCTTTTATGAGCTCTCTACAATTTGTTTAAGTTCTACACCATTGCATTTGCACTACTTAGCAATTCTACTTGTTTTGAGCGTAATTCATTATAAATACCTCTTTGTGTTTTTACAGATTGTGTGCAGCCCTCAGACCAGGCACACCTCCAGATGACTCTATGGCTTCCTTCATCTGGGGTCTCGATGTCATGGCCTAAGAACTTAGGTAAATCTTCATTTTGCTTTTTATAGACGCTGCTTTACGGTCACACGACCCTTTTCCGCCTTGTGGATCTAAAAAAGTCAAATTGGACTACGTTGATGTATAATATGCTTCATATAAGCTGTTTCTCACCGAGCAATGTTGCTGCTGCGTGGTAACAACCAGCGTTGTCTGCTCGTAGGTAGTTGTCAGTAATTTGAGGAGCGACAGCCTTAAGCTGTTTGAACACATCATTGATTATAGCAAGCACACTGCTACTATCCTGCGTACAGCTTTTAAAAAGGTGCGCAAATATAAGCATTTTCATCTTTCCTCTTGAATCTCTGATTATTGCCACGGTTATATGCCAAGGTAGTCCACGCTTCCCATGCCAGTCACTTTGACTTTCGCAAAATTTCCGCGGGAGATACTTCAGCTTCTTCAGCACATCGTTCCTCGCTAGATCCGTTAACTGCGCGAAGGAGATGCGCCTTCCATGCGTCGATGTCTTGAGAAGCCTGATTGACAATGTAAGTAAGTTCTTCAATTTCTTCTCAATTATGACTTACTTTATTTTATTTAGAGTTGATTCAGATTGATCAATTTTTCTTAACTAAATTTTTATTCCTTTGTTCGAGTATACTTCAACTAGAATTTGCTTCCTAAGAGTTTTAAAAACGTTCTCCTAATTCTGATCACTAGTCCTTGTGAGTTGTCAATCACGAATGTAACAATAACATTAGAGGAGTTTAATATTGTATGACTGTGAAAATTAAAGCTCACGGCACGAACATGGTCTTGACACGGCAAGGCATACGCCAGACAAATCACATTGCACGAAAACTTACTCTCATCCAATCGAATGCCCGAAACGCGGCATGACCATGCCACGGTGGGGACACGGCTACGCGAATGTCACGGAATTGAACTGCCAGAGCAATCACATACGGCCACCGACTTTTTAACATTCATACGATAACTGCTCTATGTCTAGTAGATATTTTAAAGCCCAAACAGTTTTTCGCGCCAGGCAGATATGCAAAAGTTTTGGGGAGGGGAAAACAATATGTAAAGAGATATAATCACATCAAACAAGCATTCATATCCAGCCGCCACCCGGTTAGCTCAGTTGGTAAGAGCGTCGGTCTGTTGTGCGGGAGGTCGTGGTTCAAGCCTCGGCCGGACCAACACTCAGGGTCTTAAAATAAATGAGGAGAAGGTGCTGCCTTTGTAATTAAATCTGCAAATGGTTAGACCTTCAAGTCTTCTCGGACAAGGACTTAAAACCGTAGGCCCTGTCTCCCAACCCTTCCTAACCTACAGTAAAATATTCGTGTAAGAGTAGGGGATTGTCTCCCGGTTCAACAGCCTATCC